CTCCAGATACTGCTCCAGCATTGGATGGACATGGGTGTTGGTGCATAGCGTGTGCGCAAGCGTGTGTGTGTGTGTGTGTGTGTGTGTGTGTGTGTGTGTGTGCAATCATGTGAGGCATGTGTGCGTGAGTGTGTTTGAGAGTACGCGTGTTCGTGTGTGGCGCAACTGTTCCCCTAGAAGCCGTCAATCTCCCTCATCACCACCATGGCAACACCAGCCACCACCGCCACCCCCTTTCCACACCTGAGCGCGGGCGATTGCGTGCTGGAGCTTCTCCTCCATCGTCGCTGTGTCCGGCAGCTCGGGCGGCGGTGGCGGTATCACATCCGCCTCCCCGGCGCTCGTCGGTGCAGTGGCGGCGGTGGTGGTGGTGGCTGTGTCCTCTTGGGTAGTGGCTGTCTCGTCATTCTCTTCCTGGGTGGGCGTGGCACCGCCATCGGCAGATGCTGGTGCCTCTTGCTGCTGCTGCTGCTGCTCTTGTTCAGCACCAGCACCATCGGCCTCCACAGCAGTGGCACTCTCACTTCCCTCATCGCCACTGTTGTGCTGCTGCTGCTGCTGCGTGGTTGTCGCTGTTGGTTCAAGCTGCCGGTGTGCGTGTGTCTCTGGCTCGTCGCGCTCCACGCTCTCCAGACCGGGCTCAACCTCGTCTGCAAGGCCATCGGCGGTGTTGCTTTCCGTGTCTTCACCACTCGCGGTGACCTGTCATTGATGATCATGACGACGATGATGATGATGGTGGTGGTGATGGTGATGATGATAGTGATGATGATGATAATGATGATGGTGGTGGTGGTGGTGAGAAGTTCTGGCAAGTGCATGCGAGAGTTCACATCCTGCGCCTGTGCATGTGTTGGCGGCTGCGCAAGCAAAGCGAGCGTGCATATGTGTGTGTGTGTGTGCATGTGTGCGCTCGCACCTGGTCGATGTTGTCTTGGACGTGCTGCACCACAACGGCCTCCACCTCTGCGTCCGTTGGCGCAGTCTCGTTCTCAGCTGCCAGCCGTCAATAGTGAGCACAGTGTGAGGCAGATGGTAACGGCTGTGTGCACATTGCGTGTGTGCGTGTGTGCGTGTGCACGTGGGTGCATATTTTTGTGTGTGTGCGTGTGCACGTGGGTGCATATGTATGTGTGTGTGTGTGTGCGTGTGCGTGTGTGTTTCCGGGTGTGTCACTGCCATGATGACCGCAATGCACTCCTTACGTTGAACGGTGGTGGCTGGTTCTGGTGTTATGTCCTCTGCTGCGTCCTCAATGACAGCAGCGTCCTGTTGCTTCGTGTCCTGTGCCGCCTGCTGCTCCTCCTGCCGTTGTGCCTTCTTCTCCTCCCTGCTGGCGCGCAATCGCTCCTTCACGTCCCGAGATGACGATGGCGGTGGTGTGCTCTTTGTCTGTAGTCCAGCACAGCATATACGGCGTGGGCGTGTGTGAGTGAGCATGTGCGTGCATGTGTTTGTGGGAGTGAGCATGTGCGTACACGCGTGTGTGTGTGTTGTGTGCGCACACGTGTTTGTGTGCGTGTACATAGGTGTGTCTGGACGCAAAATGGTTCTGCTCACGTTGCCGAGCGGTCCGAGGATTTCCGGCGACGGCTTTGTTTGTGTCGTCTCTGAGGACATCAGCTGGTACACCTGGTGCACGAGCACGCACACAGCAGCGATGTAGAGCACAAAATGACAACAAGCTCTAAGCCGTACGGTGGAAGGTGCTATCGCTGGCGAGGCATACATTGCAGTAAGCAAAAGCCAGAAACGTGTACGAGCGCACACGTACCTCCTTGGCGCCGGGAACATATTCCTCGATGGTTGGGCGGAGCATTTCGTCGCGCATGCCGAGCGTCACCACGGTGCCATAACCCGTGACACCAAGCATGGTGACCAGCGCTGCCTTGCGGGCAAAGGACATGCCACCTTTCCCAGACGAAGGCGGTGGCGGCGGCTGCGACGGGTTGCCTGCGCCTGGCTTTGGCGGGCCCTCGCGAGCAGCTGGGCGCACGTTCACGCTCTTCTTGGGAGGAGCACGCGCATCTGTGACCTGTGGGCCAGGCGGCTTCTCGCTTGCTGGCCGTGGCGTGCGCGGCACATTGGCAGCATGCCGTTTCTGTAGTGTGAACCAAGACACACAGCGTGTCAGGCACCGCACGCACACCATTCGAACCACCAAATGCAGCACAAGCCACACATGCATGACCCCAAACGCACATGTGGACACGCAATCACAGGAACCAAAGACACACACACACACACACACACACACACACACACACACACACACACACACACACACACACACACACACACACACACACACACACACACACACAGAGGCTTGATGCTTGCGTGGGACCTCACCGTGGTTCTTGCCACAAGCCCCACACTGCGCCTCATCTTGGTTGTCGTCTTTCGCCTGCGCAGTGATAGTGGAATATTCACAGCAGTATCCACAATTTTCGACAACGCTGTGTGTGTGTGTGTGCGTGTGCGTGCGTGCGTGTGTGTG